GGGGGGATGGCTGGGGGTGAGGGAGGGGGATGGCGAGGGGGAGAGAGAGAGGAGGATGCCTGGGGTGGATGGGGAGGAGGAGAGAGAGGGGGGATGTCGGGGGTTGGGGGAGAGAAAGGAAGATGGGGGGAGAAAGATAGGGTGATGGGTGGGAGAGAGAGGGGGGATGGGTGGGAGAAAGAGGGGGAGAGGTCAGGGAGGGGGGAGGGTGTGAGGAGGAGTGGTCGGGAGATGAGGAGGAGAGGTCAGGGCCAGGGAGGGGGGAGGTGGACAGGGGGATGGGGAGGAGAGGTCAGGGCGAGAGGGGAATGGGGAGTGGGCAGAGGAGTGGGGATATGTTGGGGTGAGGGGAGGAGAGGTTGGGGTGGGAGGGGAAAGAGGTTGGGGTGGGGAGGAGAGATCAGGGCGGGGGGGATGAAGATGAGGAGGAGAGGTCAGGGTATGGGGGGAGAGGGGGATTGGGGAGAGGGGGATGGAGTGGAGAGGTCTGGGTGGGGGCAGAAAGGAGGATGGAGAGGAGAGGTTGGGGGAGAGAGGGGGATTGGGAAGAGAGGTCTGGGTGGGGGAAGAGAGGTCTGGGTGGGGGAGGAGAGGTCCAGGCGGGGAATCGGGGAGATGCGGATGGGTAGGTAAGGTCAGGGCGGGGGCGAGAGGGGGATGGGTAGGAGAGGCCAGAAAGGGGAGAGGGGTATGGGGAGAGGTGGATGGGGAGGGGTAGAGGTGGATGGGGATGGGTAGAGGTTGACAGGCAGGGGTAGAGGTGGATAAGAAGGGGTAGAGGTGGGGGGGGGGGGGGATGGAGATGGAGGTTGGTGGGGTGGGGAGAGGTGGATGTGGATGGGGGAAGGGGATGCAGAGAGGTGGATGTGGAACGGGAGGGGAGAAGGGGAGGGGGAGAGGCGGATGTGGAGGGAGAGAGGGGGACTGGGAGAAGTGGATGGCGAGGGGGAGAGGGCATTGGGGAGAGGTGGATGGGGGGTTCAGGGCAGGGAGAGAGGTATGGAGAGAGGTAGGAGGGGCAGAGGTGGATTGGGAGAGGGAAAGGGGTATTGGGGAGGTGGATGGGGAGGGGTAGAGGTGGAGGGGAGGTGGGATGTGGGAGGGGAGGGGGTAGAGGTGGGGGGCAAGGGGGAGATGGAGGTGGAGGTTGCGGGGGTGGGAAGAGGTGGATGTGGAGGGGCATGAGGGGAATGGGGAGAGGCAGTTTTGGAGGGGGAGAGGGAATGAGGAGAGGTGGATGGAGGAGGGGGTGAGGTGAATGGGGAGGGGTATGGGGAGAGGTGAACGGAGGAGGGGGAGAGGGGTATGGGGAAAGGTGGATGGAGGAGGGGGTGAGGTGAATGGGGAGGGGTATGTGGAGAGGTGGATATCGGAGGGGGAGAGGGGGACGGTGAGAGGCGGCTGTGGATAGGGAGGGGGACAGGGGGAGGGGAGAGGCAGATGGCGAGGGGAAGAAGCGGATGGGGAGGGGTAGAGGTGGATGGGTAGGGGAAGGGGAGAGATGGATTTGGAGGGGCAGAGTGGGATGGAGAGAGGCGGATGTGGTGGGGGAGAGGGGCATGGTGAGAGGCGGATGGGGAGAGGCAGATGAGGAGAGGAAGAGGGGCTTGGGGAAAGGTAGAGGGGGAGAGGTGGATGGGAAGGTGGAGGGGGACTGCGTCCGCCGACTTTTAAACCTGTTTTAAGCACTTCAAAACTTTTTAAATAATAATTTTAACAAGTGACATGGATCTGTTAAAATATTTAGAAATGTTTAAAAATGTTCACCTGTGATTGAGTTGATGACTAACAAACTACACAGGGACTGCTCCTTGTGAGGTGACGGAGGACGCTGTCTCCACCAGCGGGGCAGGGAGGGCGGAGGCGCACACTGTCCACACTGCAATCTGCCAACAATTTCAGGTCAGTTTATGCCGCATGCTGCGAACTCTGACAGTGAAATCCGAGCCAACATTACCTCATATTTCTCTGTATTAAAAGTTCATTTGCAACTACGTACACTTTCTGCATTTTTCTAATGATTCCCTGTATTTTAGTCCTTCTCTGGATTAATTACACCATTCCAATTTGACTGCAGTCTCAAAATTTTGATTTGGACTCAGAAATGGGGAATGCAATTCCATTTGTGTAAATGAGGATGAACAGTCGTACACCGTCGATCACATACCCATCATTTGCCAATCTAATTAACGACCTTTCCGCTCTGTTTTATAGCCAGTCTGTGGTCAAAGCTACTTGTTTACACACGTAGTCACGAATCTCCTAAGCAGTACCTTACTTGAAGGATTCTTGGAAATTCAAGTGTGATGGTCAGGACTTTGTAGTAAGTGCTGAAGCCATCGTTGACTAGACTGAGGTAAATATTGTCATTTTTGTTTTGGTGCAGTGGGAACTTCCTTTTTTTAAACTATGGCAAGGCCAACAGTCAGGACAAACGGTGAGGTCTTTTTATTGCAGCTTATTACTAGCGAGACCACACCCTCCAACGCCGTGACCACGCCCTTTAGCTCCATGACAGGTGTGTTGTTATTTTAAATGTATCAAAACGGCGGTTTTCAAGCTTATACATTCTCTTTTGTGAGAGGGTGAAAACAAAAAATACAGTAAGAGGGAGGGAGGGAGGAGAGACAGATGCAGAGTGAGAGACAGAGAGGCCAGATACTGAAACAGAGAGGCAGAGAATCTGGGTCAGAGACACGAGACACTGAAAGAAGGAGATATAGTGAAACTGAGTGCCATATTTTGGAAAAGTGTTGTTTTTGCCAAGTTTCATTGAGGCTTTCTCTTTGCAAAGTCCAACGACTATCCTTGTGCTTTCACCCCAAACTTGCCTCGTTATCCAGAGGGGCGAAACAGTAATGCTATATTTGGAAACGAACGTACTGGTTAGACTGAAGCACTGTTCTGTAGTATACAAAACAGTCAAACCAGTGTGTGTCATTTGCATGTTTTACTGCTTTTTTTTCTTCTGGGTAACTTCTTGCAGCACTTTTCGTGTCTGTTTCTAGACTGATTCTCCCAATTGCCATTGCTGGCATTCTGTGAGATCCCCAGGATTGCTGTCTCCTTTTAAAAAGCCCTTGTGCACCTGGACAAGCACCATCAGTCCAGAGTTGTCCGACACAGTTCCTGACATTTGCTGTGGACACGGAGGAGAAATTGGTGCCCCACTTTGTAGATAAGGATTCGAAGCTCCTGGTGGATAGGTTGATTCAAAGGAAGGCTGTCCTCTTTCCCCCAGGCCTGGCAGAGGAGGCCAGACCCTACCAGCCTGATCTGAGGTTGACATCTGGGTCCATGTGGTCTCAGTCATCTCAGGGAATGTCCAGTAGTGTAAGAAGTCAGTGACCTTCACCACTTCACTCTTCAGTCACCTTACACTCACTCTGTCTCTGCTACTGCACCCACCTCCCACCAAGGTTCATGCACTACACTCACTATTGAAAGCAATAACTTTCTTCAGCTAGTCTGGTAGCATCTCTGGAGAGAGAAACAGAATTAATGTTGAGAGTTCTGTATTTTACTTTTATAACACTTCTCCTCACCCACTGTCACCCAATGACCCCCACACCACTGACCTGTATGGCCTCTGCACTGCCAATGAACTCGGAACAGCTCACCACCTTTCCCTAACCTGCACTTTCATCTCACTCAATGCCCGCCCCTTTTGCATAGCACAAAAAGAGCCAAGATGGGTGGTGGGGTGTCTAATATCCAGCTCCTCACCTCTGTAAGGAGAGGATCCTAATCCTAAACGGCTGACTGACTGTACCTAAGCCCCAGGACTGATATCAGACGCTGCCTTTGACTTACTGTGCCAGGTCCCTCTGACTGAAGGGAGTCACCCTTGATTTGACTGAAGACTAGTCCCCTTTTATTTTGAGACATGACTATTTGGTGTGGAGAAGCTGATGTGTCAGATTCCACTGTCCAGGCATGTGGGATGTATGTGGCTGCTGCTCATGGAGTGTGCCCTGTGGTATTGGTGCCCGGTGTCCAAGATGGAGATCCAAAGGAGGAAGGAGTGATTTGGAATCGCTATGTACCTGCTCTTACTTTCAGCTCAGAAATTCTTGGCATCTAGTTTCAATGCAATTCTAGTAGAATGCATTTTAATAAAGTGAGATTAGATATTCATGTGCATAATAATGAGCAATCATCCTCGTTAATTAGCTTCTCACTGTCTGGAATTAGTTGGAAAATGCAATGTGTTGATCTGAATATCAAGAAAGGCCTGGCTCAACATCCCTCATAATTCTCCCAAATACATTCCATCCAGTCAGTCAGGCGCCAGACCTAAAGAGTAAACACAATGAAGGAGTGACTTGCCACACGCAGAGGAAGAGGGCAAGTTAAACAACAGGCACAGAGAAAGAGCCCCTCGTGAGGCACATGAGGGGGGAGAGAGAGAGAGATAGAGAGAGAACCAGTCCCAAAAAGACTGAGACAGAAGGAGAAACTGAAAACACAACACAAAAAAGGAGATTAGAACGCAGAGATGCATTAGACCCGTGTTTCCCAAATTATTTTCTAAAGTGAACTATTTTGGCAATACCTAATATGCTAATAAAACAAAACAGCAACATAGTAACATTCAATATTTAATTAATGAAGTTCGTACACAAGATAAACGTTGTGTTTTTAAACTATTTTGTGAAAATGTTATATTATGTTCTCACTAGGCCTATTGAGGCATATGGTTATGCACAACGTCACAAAATCTGACAATGCCAAGAGATACTCAACATCTAGTCTCCATCCATCAACTCCATCCAGAGTTGATCCATATGAAGCATTGATATTGCTATGCCAAATCCAGCTTACATAAAACACACAAACAGTTTTTTCCTTCACAGATGCTCCCAGACCTGCTGAGCATTTCCAGCAACTTTGTTTTTGTTCCTGATTTACAGCATCACAGTTCTTTTGGTTTTTATTACATAAAACGCATGCTAGCAGAAGGAACCATCACACAGTGTGCGTAGTGTGATGCCCTGATTGTTAGTCTTCACACACAACCAGAATTCTGACAGAAAAATTCTAGATTTCTTTTGCCCCCACAGAATGTTCACGCAAAATTTCAATAAACTGTTCAACTTCACCCATGTGCTGGTTAGGTTGGAAATGAAAAGGGTTTAGGGCCCAAATGAACTGTATATCTGAAGAAGGGTCTAGACCCGAAACGTCAGCTTTCCTGCTCCTCTGATGCTGCTTGGCCTGCTGTGTTCATCCAGCTCTACACCTTGTTATATAAGCTATTCATTTAACCTTTTTTTGCAGGGAAATGTATACATTCAGTTTATTTTAAAAAAATAATTCTTTAGCACACAAGAATGAAAACTAAAACATTAAAATTGTTTTATTAATTATTTCAAGGCTTATATCTAGGATACAAGTTCACTGGTTCTACTGGCCTTCCACTGTTATAGGGAGTGAGTGGTGTCATAGTAATGTTATAGTCAGTCGTCTAGAGAACCAGGGAGCAAATGTTCAAGTGTCGTCATAGCAGCTGGTGGAATATAAAATTAAAAGGAAAATTGGAATTAAAAGCTAGTTTGAGTGAATGATGTGACCAATAAAATATATTAATTGTTGTAAAAACCTCTCTGGTTTTACTAATGCTCTTGTGGGAGGACCTCTGCTGTCTTTACTTGGTTTGGCCCACACATGACTGCTTCAATTCACGCGTAACTGCCCTATGACATGGTGTAATGAGCCACTCAGGTTGAAAGGCATTTAGAGATGGGCTGAAGTGCTGGACTTGCCAGGTTTGCCCACATCCCACAAAAGAATAAATAACAAGAAAAAATGTGCTCACAGCCATTGGGAAAGAAAAATCCATGTCACGATGTCAACTCATGACCCTATTTACTCTTTCTGTTACCCCTTGGGTAAAATTGGGTAAGTTGGAATCTATGTCAATTGTTCTCAGTAATATTTTCAGTTTCTCAATGTTTTGAGTACAGACAGATAATGGAAATCTATCATTAAAATAAACCCAATTGATGTATAATGACATGAAGTTGTTCAGGCTCCACAAAATATTTTTAATATGCACAGGTACAATCCACCTCAGATACTATCCATCTGGTTCTGCCCTCTTTTTGTTTATCACCCTCACCTTTTTTTTACTTTTGTCATTCATATATCTGAAGAATACTTCAGTGTTTTTTTTAAATTCTAGTGATTTTATTTCATAGTTTCCCTTTGCTAGTTTTATTATTTTTCTAACATAGTTTATGCCTTTTGTGAAGTTTTAGTTTTACTCATATCCCTATATTCTATCACAGTGTCCATTACTGACTAAAATAAATACAGAAAGTGCTGGAAAATCTTAGCAAGTCTGGCATCTGAAGAGAGAGAAACAAATGGAACATTTTGAATCCAATGACTCTTATTTTGAATGCCTATAGAAAAGCTATGGGACTTGAAATGTTAAATCTGTGTTTCTGTCAAGTGTCCAGCATCCACAATATCTTCTTTCCCCACTGGCTCATTTGTTATGCTTTCTGGTGGACATTATTTCCCCTTTACTAAGCACCACTTTTCAAATATTTCCCACTGCTGTATAATCTCTTTGATTATCTGAACATGTTTTCAGTTTATTTTCTCTAGACCTATTCTGACCCCCTTGGAAATCAGCTTCACTTGCCCCACACACCCCACAATTTATTGCTTTTTAAATAATTCTATGGATTCCCTATCACAGTTCACATTTCCCAAGTCTATATCCACTGCATGCATACTTAGTATCTCAATGTACACTTTCCCTATAACAGTTTATATTTTTTACAGTGGTCCCTATTGCAGTTTATGTACTCACAGTGTATAGACACATTCCCTATTCACAACACACATGCTTACAGTGTACACGTTTCCTATCACAGTATCAATGTTCACAGTGTGCATGTTCTCTATCTCTGTATACACATACCCTACTTCAAGGGACGTATTCCTCATATTTAGGTTAGGACGGCACAATTTGAAAGGAGGACACTGATGGATTAGACGCTGACTGATGGAATGGACAGAAACGTGGCAGCTGAAGTTCAATGCAGAAAAGCAAGAAGTTTTACATTTTGGGAGGAAGAAAGAGGCAAGATAGTAGACAATAAAGGAAATAATTCTAAAGGAGGTATAGGAACAGAGGGAGAGTCCTGGAGCTATATGTGTATCGCCTTTTGAGGGTGACAGGAAAGGCAGAGAAACTGCCTAATAAAGCATGTGGGATCTTGTTTTTTTTGAATAGAGGTCTAAAGTACAAAAAACGGAAATTATGGTAAATCTGTAAAAGAAGACTTGTTTTAGCCTCATTGTGTCAAGTCGGCATATAAGGAGTGAAAATATTTATTAGAACAATTCCAGGGATGAGGAACTTCAGTTACAAGGATAGGTCGGCAAAGTTGGGATCATTTAGAGGATGTTCCGTTGAGGTTTTCAATAACATGGGAGGCCTGGAAAGAGTAATACAGAGAAACTGTTACTTTTGATTGAAAACCAGAGGGTGTTGACTGGTAGACGGGGGGCGGGTGGAAATTGCCTTTTATTCCTCCGCAGCCAATGGTTTGGATCAGGAATGGACTGAATGAGAATGTGGAAGCAAATTGAACCTGTGTCTTTCAAAGGGAATTCAGCTAACTCTGAAGAGACAAGTAATTGTGGGGCAATGAGGAAACGGTGAGGCCAAATATAACAGCGTGGAGCTGGCGGAGCACAGCGGGCCAGGCAGCATCAGAGGAGGAGGAAAGTTGACATTTCGGGTCGGGACCCTTCTTCAGAAATGGGCCAAATGATCTGTTTCTGCAGAGAACCAGCCCTGACACGATGGGCCGAGAGGCCTGTTTGTGTAATTTATTCGGTGGTTGTGATTCTGTCTGTCTGTCGCTGTGTTTTTTTTGTGACCAGCTTCCGTGATTCTTGAACACAGTCCCCTAAATCTGATCGTGAGGTATACGGGATCCAGCCGTTTGCTGGTGGATGGAGTTTCACTTTCACCCCTGCTGTGTGACCGCGCACTGTCTTGCCTGTTTCACAAACTGTACGGACATCCTTTACCCGGAGACTGATGATACAGAAGAGGAAGAATATTGCGGCTGGCTGCAACGGGCAGGGTAGGCGGGGCGGGCGGGGCGGGACTCTTTTTCTATTGGTGCAGGGCGGCTTGTTTGTGGCAGATTAACCAGGAGCCCAGGAAGTGAAGGGCAGAAGGTGTGAGAAGAGATCTCCCGGTGGACGTTGAATAGAAGTCATCCCAGAGTTAACATCAAATTCGCAAAAATGATGCTGAAGCTGGCCATCCTGGCCTTAATCGTGGCTCTGAGCCAGGCCGGTAAGTGAGCTTGCTGTTTGGGGAGATCCTGGGGTGAGGGCGCCGACGCTTCTTAAGAGTTGATAAAATAATTTCAACCTCAGATATGTTCATTTGGCTTCTCTGACCAGTACACACGCTCTTTCTCGTTCTTCCCAACCCCCTCCCTCCCAATTTTTAAAATTAAACCTCGGGGGACTGACCCTTGTTAAGAGCAGTAAATAACCTAGCTTCCAGTTCACAATCATGCCTCGGAAGCACCTTAGTTTCTGAAGGGGGAGATCACAGCAGGTCGAGTCTTGAACTGTGTTTCAGGGTCCTATTTTGCCTTACCCCTATATAATATTGGATATCGCAGCTGACATCCTCATGAGAGTTTTCTTCTGACTGAGGATGTCAGTGGGTTTGTAAAGTTATGTGAGAACTTGACCAGGAAAGTCATGGCTGAGGGGATTGGGTTTCTAATGCTATAATTGACAGTGATCAGAGGTACCATGAAAATTGCGTACTTGGTTTATCAGAACTCAATTTCTACAAACCTACAGTTCCCCTCATGAAATACTGGAAATTCTCAACAGCCGGGCAGTTATCGGTGAAGAGGGAGGCAGAGTTAATGTTTCAGATCAATGACTATTTGTCAAAAAAAGAAATACTAACTTCCTTGTATAATATCTAGCATTTTCTCTTCCTATTCTAAATGTCCAGCAACCATGACACTTTTATCTTTCTCAGATATTAGTCTAAACCTTTACTTTCATTTTCCATCCCATACTATTCAATCTGTTTTTGATATCTTGTATTTCTTGCCATTCTTCTCTGATTTTTCAACAGCCTCTGTCCCACCTCTGTTTCCTTTCTATGTTTTTGTTTGTTTAGATGTCTATTATGTTCATTATTGGGATTCAGAATTCCCAGTCAGTGGACAGAAATCTGGAGACGGTGATCAGGAGATCCTAATAAATCTCTCAGAGAATGAAGCCCAGAGATCAAAGTCTTTTACATAAATGTTTTCCAGAGGCTGAGATTGCGCCATCTCAGTTAGTGTATGGATATATCCCAAAGTCTGGGAATGAGAGATCTCAGTCAATGAACAGATATCTCCCAGAGTTTGGGATTGAATGATCTTGTTTGTTCCAGAAGTTGGGACCAAGCAGTCCCAATCATCATCTAGCAATCTCCCAACCTCTGGTGGTATCTAGGGGGACCCCACTCAGTGCTGGTGATGGGTTTGAATATAACTGCTCTTGAATTGTATCGACTCTTTACCTTTGCTCTGTTTCTAGGTTCTCCAAATGTACAGGTGTATACCTACAAACTGATAAAGGAGGGCGAATCCAACGTGTTGCTCTGTCATGCCAAAGATTTCAGCCCCCCCAACATCAAGCTGGAGCTGCTGGAGAATGGAAATGTCATTCCCAATACCACCCAGTCTGACCTGTCCTTTGAGTCAGACTGGAGTTTCAAACTAACTCGTTATGTGGAGTTCACCCCCCAGAGTGGATACAAGTATGCCTGCAGGGTGATTCACAGTGGCGTCTCAAAAATGATTCAGCTTGGTAAGAAATCTGTATATTAAGATGTCTAATGCATATTCTCCCATAATCACTCTCTCCTTTTGTTGGTATAGGTTCATCAATGGCAAATGTAATCAGACACATAGAATTTCTCTTTCACTGATCATTTGACACAACACTTGATTAGATTGCATACTGTAATTCACTCCCAATATTTGCTGCTCTGGGCATAATCCATCTGATCCTCTTGTAAAATTATAAGTGTACTTACACTCTAGTGTAAAGAACATGCACCAGGCTTTTTTACTATTGTGGCAGGCAGCTCAAATCAGATTTTAGCTACTTGGTTATGATTGAGCTCATTACGTGCAGTGTTCATTCTGGGGAGATGGGCATGGGATTGCGCAAATCTGCCGCCTCTGGAAACAGATCGGAGGCAACATGGAGGTGGTCGAGTGCTGAAGTAGGCTCATTAAAAGGACCCCTCTATTCCATGGGACTTTGTAGCAGTTGCCCCTCACAATCTCACCCGTCCAATTCCCATGGCCCTTCTACTCAGTGTGCACTGAGTCAGTAAGTTGTATAATAGTAGCAAATGTTGAGATATTTATAGGAAAAAAGATGACCGTTCTTTAAAGAAAAGCTGTTGTTTTCACAATCCTAAAGAAGTATCAGTCAGGTGATATTCACAGAATCCGTACAGTGTGGAAAACAGGCCCTTCAGCCCAACAAGTCCACACCGACCCTCAGAGTATCCCACCCAGACCCATCCCCCTGTAACCCACCTAATCTACACATCCCTGAACACTATGGGCAATTTAGCATGGCCAATCCACCTAACCTGCACATCTTTGGACTGTGGAAGGAAACCGGAGCACCTGGAGGGAACCCACACAGCCACGGGGAGAATGTGCAAACTCCACACAGACAGTCGCCCGAGGGTGGAATTGAACCCGGGTCCCTTGTGCTGTGAGGCAGCAGTACTAACCAATAACAGAAACTTTACTGCACTTGATATTTTATGGTCTTGTCCAAATAAGTATAGACATAGACAAATTAGATCAAAGAAGGAATAATTTATTTTTAACCTCATAAAGCTGTCAAACAAACAAAGCAAATACTGCAGTTCTGACTGACAATACAGACTGTTACTGAAATAATCAAATTAGTAAGCCTTGGAACTCAGCCAAGCATTCCTATAAGTCCACATGGGAACTGTATCAGCAGAAACAGGTAATCTTTTTATGGCTTCTTGGATCTATGGTTCACAAAATTCTCGAAAACTGGCAGTTGCCTTAACTTGTCTCTGGGTGTGTTGTAGATGCATTTTTAGACATTGACTAGTTAACAGCTCCTCTTTTAGATTGATTTGTGGGATGTGGGTGATGCTGGCTAGTTATTGCCCATCCCCAATTTACCAGCGTGCAGCTAAGAGACAACTGCACTGGGTCTGGAGTCACTTGTAAATCAGATCAAGTAAGGATATCAGATTTCCTTCCCTGGAGGACATTAATGAACTGGATTGCATTTTTGTGACACTTGACAATGGGTACATGATTGCCTTTAGGTCAGCTTTTCTTTGTTCAGATTTTTGATAAAATCACATTTCACCATCTATCATGGAGAGATTCAAACCCATGTTCCCAAACCATTAGTCAGAGTTTCTGGATTGCACATCACCACGACCTCCCTATCAAATTATCATGGGACAGTTATGATAGTAGAGAGCAATTTAAACAGACCTTTGATTTCAAACCAGCCATTCCCATTTTCCTGCATGTGTATTTAAGCCTGGGTGACAGGTGGGTAGCTGTAAGTTCTGGTCACAGACTAATGATGTTTTTCTCTGTTTTTGACCACAGATGCCTACTAACATGTCACCACAGAGGTAAGCAGTGACTCTCAGATGAAGAGCAAAGATTACTGAGAGGACATTTCCAGCACAGAATGCAAATCGACCCACTGTGTTTTTCTCTTCTTTTTGCAGTCACTGAACAACATAGCGAGGCTACTGAATCAATCAACGACTTCCACATCAATTTCTTTCAAACTATCTTCAAATGTAAAATGTTCAACAAATTAGTATGATTTTATAGGATATCTGAAATTTATTTACCTGATGCGGAATAAGTTTGCTTTTGGCTCTTCAATCTAGTAATTTACACCCTAGACACTTGTTCCAAAATTGCCGTTGCAACTCCTCCACGAGGTTCGGAATATTAAAAATTGGGGGTAAATAATTATGAGTGCAAGTAAAAGGCCAGTTAAAATCTAATCTGCAAATGTAACGTCACTGCAAGACTCTCAGTGAGGTTTATAGTTAGAAACTTCAATAAATGACTAAAAGACTACCCAAAGCTAGAACCAGTAAAGCTTGAAGATTTGAAAAAATTGAAAAGAAAATTGAAGAATTGCCATTGTTGTTTGGTCTAGACTCGGAGCTTCAGCTCTTTTGAACTGAAGAGCCTACTGTGTTAAATGTGTTTCCCATATGGTAAGAGACACAGCAAATTGTGGTCCTTACAGTCAGGGATTGGGAGACCACAAGTCAGAACCCAATCTCTTTCCCAACTAGCTTTGCATTCCATCTTCCTGATTTATCCTGGAAAATCTTGCAGTGTGTAATCTTGACCTCGAGGTGCTGGAACCCCGCAATTTTAACATTTGGACTCAGCGTAATACAGAGATTAGCACCGCCACATAGATTAATTTTTTTTAGAGAGCCTGTACTTCAAATCATTATTAAGCATTTCTGCAAGTGGGAATTGTGGGATTTGATAAGGATAGTGCTGTCAACAATAATTACATTCTATGTAATTCTCATTCAGTGTGATACATACACTGTTTTCTGCTATTCTCTATATGCTTACTGGTGTGAATAAAATTTTCCTCCTTACTTCTTTGTTGCCTTAATTATAAAGCCTACTCGATCCTGGAAACAAAAAACTGACCCATTTACTCTCACATTATTCACCACATACTTGCATGTCCAAGTTTAAGAGGTAGTTGATCAGAAAGAGCTGGGTGATGATTCATTATGTCTTCATGCATGAAGTGTTTGTATTTCTCTTTTTGTAATTATGTTTACAAGTCTTCAGCCATCAACTTATAAATACGAAAAAGAATCCACACCAAAACAACTTATGTAGGCAATACACAAACCCAGTTATTTGTTGCTGTTTTATTCTGATCTTTAATAAGCAAAAGCTGTATTAACAATAAAGGGTGGGGCAAGGCAGCTATCCACCTTGAGATAGGGCTGGAGGAACACAGCAGGACAGACAGCATCACTCCAACAGTACCCTAGGCAAATCACAGAAGTATTATTGAACAAATTTAACTTCGAGCCTTATCAGGAGAGATGGGGGTGCTTGTCCTAAAGGTTGGTCCAAAGAGAATGGTTTAAGGAAGGTCTAAAGGGAATTAAGAGAGGACTGGGGAGGGAATTCCATAGCTTAGAGCCTTGGAAGTTGAAGGTATCTCTCCTAAGATATGGTGCTTAAATTGGAGATGGAGAGAATTTCAACATTTGAAAACAGATATTTCTAAAAGTTGTAAGGCAGGAAAAGGTGATAAAAGCTAGGACAGACTAGGATCTGAGGCCCCATCCTCAGAGTGAAGGGATGATCCTTCAGAACTGAGATGAGGAATTTCTTCAGCCAGAGGGTGATTAATCTGTGGAACTCATTGCCACAAATGGCTGTGGAGGCCAAGACATTGACAGCATTTTTGTGCAGAAATAGATAGATTTTTGATTGGTAAGGGGATCAAGAGTTACAGGAAAAGGCAGGAGAATGGGGTTGAGAAACAAATCAGCCATGATGAAGTGGCAGAGCAGACTAGATTAGCAGAATGGCTCTTAATAAATGATTTGGATGAGGAAGTGAAAGGGTGGGTGAGGAAGTGAAAGGGTGGGTTAGTAAGTTTGCCGATGACGCGAAGGTTGGTGGAGTTGTGGACTGCGTGGAGGGCTGCTGTAGGTTGCAACGGGACATTGACATGATGCAGAGCTGGGCAAAGAAGTGGCAGATGGAATTCAACCCAGAAAAGTGTGAAGTGATTCATTTTGGAAGGTCGAATTTGAATGCAGAATACAAGGTTAATAGCAGGATTCTTGGCAGTGTGGAGGAACAGAGAGATCTTGGGGTCCACGTCCGTAGATCCCTCAAAGTTGCTACCTGAGTTGCTAGGGTTGTCAAGAAGGCATATGGTGTGTTGACTTTCCTTGGCAGGGGAATTGAGTTTAAGAGCTGCGAGGTTATGCTGCAGCTCTATAAAAGCCTGGTTAGACCACACTTGGAATATTGTGTTCAGTTCTGGTCACCTCATTATAGGAAGGATGTGGGAGCTTTGGAGAGGGTGCAGAGTAGATTTACCAGAATGCTGCCTGGACTGGAGGGCAGGTCTTTTGAGGAAAGGTTGAGGAAGCTAGGGCTTTTTTCATTGGAGCAAAGAAGGATGAGAGGTTACTTGATAGAGGTGTACAAGGTGATGAGAGGCATAGATAGAGTGGATAGCCAGAGACTTTTTCCCAGGGTGGAAATTACTATTGCGAGGGGGCATAATTTTAAGGTGACTGGAGGAATGTGTAGGGGAGATATCAGAGGTAGGTTCTTCACACAGACAGTGGTGGGCGTGTGGAATGCGCTGCCAGCAGTGGTAGTGGAGCCAGATACTTTAGAGACTTTTAAGCGACTCTTGGATAGGCACATGGAAGATAGTAAAATGTAGGGTATGCAGGGTAGTTTGATCTTAGTAAGATAATAGATCGGCATAACAGCATGGGCCAAAGGGCCTGTACTGTTCTATGTTCTATATTTTATGGTCTAAGTTGGGGGGAGCTGAAGCCATGAAGGGATTAAAATACAAGAGTGAGAATTTTAAACTTATGAAGTGGTTCAATTTGCCAGTGCAGGTCAGGGAACATGTAGTTTAAGTCCATGGAGGGCTGAATATGGGAGTACATTGGAATCATTCAGATTGCCGGGCAGCATCGTGGCTCAGTGGGTAGCATGGCTGCCTCACAGCACTAGGGACCTGGGTTTGACTCCAACCTCGGGCAACCATTTGAGTAGAGTCGGCATGTTCTCCTTGTGTCTGCGTGGGTTTCCTCCAGGTGCTCCAGTTTCCTCCCACAGTCCAAAGACATGCAGGTTAGGTGGATTGACGATGCTAAGTTGCTTATAGTGTCCAAGGATGTGCAGGCAAGGTGGATTAGCCATGGAAAATGCAGGGGTACAGGGATAAGGGTAGGGTGGCAGATTCTCTTTGGAGCGTAAGTGTGGACTTGATGGGTCAAACTGCCTTGTTTCACACTGTAGGGATTCAATGGTTCTAAAAGTAAATGCAACATAGATTATATAAACATAAGGTTTTGTCTGACTAGCAGCAATTTTGCACTATTGGCCTGATGAACACAGATAAATGGCTGGAAACTGGGTTCAAAGGAAGCCCAGGTGGTGGGGAGAATAGACCTCTGGGTATATATGTGATGGATTTGACACATTTTTCTCAAAGTTCCTGGTCATCTAAGTGGAAGATTGAGTGATACTGGAGCTGCCATGTTGCAATGGTAGAATATGTTTGTCTAAGGTTGGGAGTGAAGACTAAGATGTTCAACTGAGAGAAAGAGTCAGGAAAGCTCAGATACTTTCTGTTCTTTAATTAAACTTTAAGCAGGTTAGACTGCGCCAGGTGGAGCAATTTAACAAAAAAAATCAAAAGATCAATAGAAACTCATTAAAATTAGATCAAGTACAATAACCAAGGTGTCTGATGTACACAAGCCCTTAAAGGTCCCACCAGTCTCTACAGACCTCTGCATGCGCCTTCTCCATTGACAACCAAAGATAGGCCTAACCAGGGAAGAGGGGCACACAGGCAGGAGCTCTGGCCCCAACACATCTCCCTGCTTGGAGCTGGTGATGACCACCTTGGCCATACCTAGGTGCAGGCCCATGATGAGACCATTCAATATGCCCACCCCCTGGTGTGGCGCAGAATGCAGCCAAAATTTTAAAAGCAGCCCCTTTAAAAAACCAAACAACAGGCTGCAAATGAAAACATTCAAAATTTCCTTCAGGTTCCAAAAAAACCCATATGGGCTGGCACTCAGTGAATCTACTCAAATGCTTATTGCAAGGGACTGCTGTGTGCACCAGCCTCCAGCCCAACGGGATGAGGAAATGCCTCCCTTTGTAGACTGTTCTCCGTTGGGGAAATCGGCTGCTGAAGCTGGAATGTTACACCAATGTTATACAGGCTGCAGGCCAAGTTGAGGAAGTGAAGTGTGTGCACCAGCAGCAGCCTCCCATTCAGGTAAGCTCTCCACCATGTCCAAGAGTCTGGTCAGCACAGCATCCAGTGTCTGGTCAGCACAGTGTCCAGAAACTCTCCTTCCGCCTCCAACAAGTCCCTGATTTCTGAATTGTGTTTCCAAACAGCAATCTGGGAGACCGTGCACCATAGAGACTGCAGCAGTTCGATGAGGTACCAAGGTACCTACCCCAAGCACCATTTCCATGGCATTAAAGGATGGGGGTTAAACTAGCCAAATACAAACACCAAGCAATGGGGTTTATCAAAGTAGACCATGTTTCCTTTTGTGGCAATCTAGATTGAGTGGTCAGAGATTTGGGATAAGGGGCTGCAGATTTAAATCAGAGATGAGGAGAAATGAATTCTCTCAAAGGGTCATGAATCTGTATAATTTACGACCTGAAAATACTGTGATGCTGGAACATGGAGTAAATTTAGGAGCAGATAGACAGATTTCAATTAGTAATCGGGGTTGAAGGATGATGGGGCGCAGGGAGGAAGTATAGTTGAGGGAGAAATGACATTAACCGTGATTGTACTGAATAGTGGGCAGGCCGAAGGAGCTGTACTGCCTACTCCTGCTTTTAGTTATTATGTTCTTATGTATAACTGCACAGACTGGACAGCGACGATCAGTGTCACTGATCACACATTACTGGGAGAGACTGGATACTGACAGTCTCTTATTGATGATGGTCATTGCCTGGCATTTGAGTGGCATGATTGTTACTTGCCATTTGTCAGTCTGAGCCTCAATATTGTCGTGATTTTGCTAAGGATGGCACTTTCCTTCCCAAAAGGACATTAGTGAACCAGATGGGTTTTTTCCCAACAATCAACAATGGGTTCACGGTCAACATTAGACTCTTAATTCCAGATATTTATTGAATTCAAATTCTACCATCTACCGTGGTGGGATTCAAACCTTGGTCCCCAGATGTTATCTGGGTCTCTGGATTAACAGTCCAGCAATAATACCACTAGGCCATTGCCTTCCCAATTACTGTGAGACACTGGACAGTGATGATCAATGTCACTGTGCACACATTACTGGGAGAGACTGGATACTGACAGTCTCTTATTGATGACGGTCATTGCCTGGCATTTGAGTGGTACGATTGTTACTTGCCATTTGTCAGTCTGAGCCTCAATATTGTCATGATTTTGTTTCATTTAAACATGCGCTGGTTCAGTATCTGAGGAGCCATGAATGGTACTGAACGTTGTGCAATTATCGGTGAACATCCCCACTTCTGACCTTATGATGGAGGGAAGCTCATTGACGAAGCAGCGGAAGATGTTTGGGTCTAGGACACTACCCTGAGGAACTCCCACAGAGATCTGCTGGAACTGAGACGTCTGATTCCAGCAACCACACCATATTCCTATGAGCCAGCTATGACACCAACCACCGGAGAGTTTGCCCTCGATATCCATTGATTCCAGTTTTACTAGGGCTCCCCGATGCCAGAGTCAGTCAAATGCAGCCTTAACCTATTGCTGATAAATATATTGCCATTCCTTCACTGTCACTGGGTCAAAATCCTGGAATTCCCTCCCCAAAGGCTGTCACTCCCA